GGCCTTGTTACCACATAGCCTGCCACTACACACCCCCTGCTGTTAGTCACTAACAGTCCCCATCAACAGCTATTCACCCTCCCAGCCTGATCATTAGCAACTCCTTTGTCCAACTGTCTTTCTCTCTCTTTGGGCTCTATCCTATCGTTTACTCCCTACCCCACCCACCTCCCTATTTTCTGCATATAAACTGACGTTTTCCCAGCCACCATCAGTTCTGAGGAAGGGTCACCGGACCCGAAATGTTAACTCTGTTTTCTCCTCCACAGATGCTGCCAGACCTGCTGGGCTTTTCCAGCAACTTTGTTTTTGTTCCTGATTTACAGCATCCGCAGTTATTTTGGGTTTTTTTAGTTGTGGATGGCAGCAGACAATACTGAGATTGTGAGCTCTCAATTGCTGACTCCTCTTACTCTGAGCCAGAGATTGATGGGGCCATCATGAAACTAATGCCCTGGGTTATTGAGATGATGTGTGGTAGGCTCGGGCTTCACTTCCTGTCTCCTCATTGCCTGTTCCCCATCTATAAGGCACAAGTCAGAAGTGAAAAAGAAAGCTCTTTGCCTGACTGGATGCATGCATCTTTAAAATCTCCCAAGAAGTTTGACACCATCTAAGACAATGCATCCTGCTTGATTGGCACCACCTCTAACACCTTCAACATTCACTCCTCCACCACCAGTGCCCAGTGGCAGAGTGTGTACAAGTGCAATAACTCAACAAGGCTCCCCAGACAGCACCTTCCAAACCTGTGAGCTCTACCACCCAGAAGGACAAGGGCAGCAAATGGTCCACTTAAAGCCCCACACAACCCTGACTTGGAACTATATCACTGTTCCATTAGTGTTGCCAGGTCAAAGTTCAGGAACTTCCTTCCTAACAGCATCATGGGTGTCCATACAGCCCAAGAAGCGTAGTGGATCAAGATAGAAGTTCATTGCCACCTTCTCCTGGCAATTAGGCGTGGGCAACACATACTGGCATAGCCAATGATGCCCACATTCCATGAATCAATATGAAAAAAATACCAGTTGTTCAACATGACAAGCAACTCGACTCTTCAGACATGATCACATAGAAGATAAGTCTTTGTCAAGAGTTGAGGGAGTTGAAGGTACATATTTATAAGTAGCTGGCAATTTCTAGTAAAAAAATTCCTGATGAACTGACTGCAACAAAGGCGATCCATCTTGATTATGATGCATTGAACAACAATATGAACACATGAGGTGTACGCATTCGGGCCTTTAATGAATACAGCTTCTAGGCAGCAGCACCCAGCACTGAGTTATCTGCTGCTGGCACATATCGCTGGCATAAGTGGGTTTAGGTTGAGGGTGTGGGGATGATCACAATCAGGGCACCAGCTCTTACAGGGTTGACCCTTTTTCCTCACCTGCCCTTTGTGATTCTGGCCTTCAAACAAAGATGACAGCGTGACTTTTATGTTTTGGTTTGAGAAAATGTTTTTATTGTGTTATTTATTGAGCAGGACATTTATAATTTACAGTTTGTGCTCTATTTGACTCCATTGAGAGAATGTCATCTGTTCAAGCACTTCAAGTGAGCAGGCTGTTAGCAAATGACCTTAACAAAGTAGACGAGTGTCTGCCTGAAGCCCCTGGAAGCTAAAGCTCCTCGACAGGGCTGACCTGGCACCTTTGGTGATTACACCAAATTATTCATAAAGCCCTGTTTAAAGATAAGGCCCCTGCAAAGCTGAGGCAACTCTCTTATGTGGCCCTGATATAGGACTGAAGATCCCAGAGGCCATGCATCATGGCCATCCCATGCATTGGATCAAGACAGACAAGCAGTCTGCCTCCTTAATAACTGCAGGCAACATGAAAGCTCAACACAGAAGCATCCAGAAGTGTTTAGTAAATCACCTTAATGCACTTGAGTTATCACTGAGTGATAATTGTATGCTGAATGTCAAAGTGTTACCTGTATGTGAGAATTTCAAGATCTTATAATGCATCATATAATGATTTATCTATTCATTTTTACAGCAGCCATCTGTCATCAGATGTAAACCCTTTAACTGAAGGGTGAAAAAGACGATAAACATATTGAAGACAATGGTGAATGTATATCTTGGATTAACATAATGATTGTGGTAGTATATCAGTGAGGCTGTTCAATCAAAGGCCACCAAGGTTACTTTAGGGGATAGATTGAATCATTTCCACAAATGTTTATTGGAAAAATGTGTGCTTATAAATGAGTTGCACATCTCCTTGGCACGTCATTTCCCTTTGACATCAGCCTTATGGGTGTGTTTCCATTGTCTGCATGTTTCCATCATTCCTGCAACTCTTCCTCAGAGGAAGAGGAGGTTGCACACACAACTTGGTCTTTGTTTTGCAATGCTGCTCTTTCTGGAATGCCAGGACAGAAACATACTACCACCATCCACAAGACCCTTAATGGGGCACATTGCAGGACTCCCCAAGATATACTGGGGCATCTGAACCTAATTTTCAGAAGGCCAATGAGTTTTCTATGCTGCAGTGGTTTTCCTTGTAGTTCACTACACAGATTACATATTCCTATCACCAAGTTCCTAGGTGCTTGGGTAACTTAAATGCTAGGCCCCTGGGATTGTCTCAGGATCTGTCTCAGCCATGGCAGCTTTACAGGATCCGAACACAAACTGGATCCACAGTTTTAAATGAATTGGACTTTCAGTGAGTGAACCCTGTCCTATTCAGATGGACATCTAACTTCTCTGCAGGAGCCCTAGTGACACAGGCATTGCAATCGAGTATTGTCTATATCCAAAGATATCCAACATTTCACACACAGCCTGACTGGCCTGATTATGTATTTCCACAAAGTATTCATCACCTGCTCGATGCAGCGATAGGCTACTGACTGGGAAAGATCCCAAAAAGATTTCCAGAGGATCCCTGGAATCATCCTGAAGCATGAATCTTTATGCCAGGGCCATGTTCATAGACAGATTAATGGCCTCCATTACCTCCCATTGGCCTCAAGCCTTCCTCACGGGTTCTCTATTGATCCACTTGGCTGGACAGGCACACTTTCAGAGACACTGGTGCTCTGACATATGTATTGAAAGCTCAGCTTTTCAACTGGGTATCGCCTTCTTTGAATTTTAGCCAAGTACTCGCCGTCAGATGGGGAAACTGAAGAAGAAATTCATTCGTTTTTTTTTCATTTAACTAAACATTAAACATCCCTGTCATACCCAAACCAACTTTTAGAACCAACCAACGGTTTAGAGCCAAGTTTCTACAAAACCGGTCAATTTGCTTACAAAAATGTAACCAGTATCCAACACTAATTTGTTTATCGTGCCTCATTACATATTACCTTCAGGTATGTATAAACTTCCAATTGCCGGAGTTTTATTTTAAAGTACGAATCATTCAAAGTAGACTTCTACAGTAAATGCTTTGGAAAACTGAATAAGGTTGTGAAGATTGTGATTATGGGAGATTCAAAGCGTTTAAAAAGAACATTTCCACCCTTCCCCCAAAAAGTGAACCCTATCAGTGTGGGTTGGGTCACTACAGCTGCTAGGACCTACACCAGTTTCCTCCACATTGGCTGGAGTGTGGTGAGTCACAGGGAAAAAAAAACATCCAGCTTTCTTTATTAGTTTGGCTTTCCAGTCTTGCACATCATTCTCACTCAGTAACCTTATAGAGGCGCTTTTCCATTTTGATTCGGATTGTTTTGGTTCTGCTAAACTAGATTAACTAAAATTTCCAAGAGATTTTCGTGCAGTCGGCTTCTTACTTATCTGTATCGTGTTCAGTTTTCACTTAATTGTTAATTACTTTTCTGTGCCGTTTACATGCCGTAAACTTTTAATACTTTTGAGGCGTTCAACTTAAGCGGTTGCAATTTAAGGATAGGTTTGTAAGTCAGTTTCTCTCTGCTTGTAATAACAATCCTTTTACGCTTGGAATTTAACGGAATTTATTTGTTTGGAATTGATCAGTTGCATGCGTTTTGTATATGAATTGAGTTTGGTGTTGCATCAATGGCGAGTTTTTCTGCAGCTCTTCTCTTGAGCTGCCTCCTGCAAACAGTGAGCAATGGGCTGGCTGCTGCTGCCGCCGAAGATACCCCGGAGCAGCCCCAGTGCTCGCAGCGCTGTGATGTGTCCAAATGCCCGAGCCCGAGCTGTTTGAATGGTTATGTGCACGATGCCTGTCACTGCTGCTTGGTTTGCGCGGCCGGGGAGGGACAACGCTGCGGGCGCCCGGGCGATGTAGGTTGCGGGGACGGCATGCAGTGCAAGTCTCTCCTCGGCAAGCGCCTGGCGACAGGACCGGGCATCTGCCGCTGCAAATCCAACTACAAAGTGTGCGGCAGCGACGGCAAGACCTATGACAACATGTGCAAGCTCAAGTTGGACAGCAGGAGAGCCCTGCAGCTCAGACTGCCACCCATCGTTCAAGTTCACAAGGGCGCCTGTAAACCAGGTAAACAAATCCTTTAATAGTGGGCAACAGTTGGCCTTAATTGCAACTTTTACAATTACCTGAAATCATTATTTACAAACCTTTTATTTCGCAGCTATCAGCTGGAGCTTTTTTTTGTGACCGATTTGCAGTGGGTAATATTTCAACGTGAACAGCTTGTATTTTTATAGCACCTTTTTGATTTGATAAAGCATCCGAAGTTGCTACATGGAAGCGTTACAAAACAAAAATGTGACACCCAGGCACTTGGCTAAAGAGGCAAATTTAATAAGCCTTTTGAAGGAGGAAAGTATGTCGGAGAATTTTAAAATAAGACCTGTATTTATGTAGCATCTTTCACAACCACTAGATGTTTGAGTGATTTACGACCAATGAAGTATTTTTGAAGTTGTAAGAAACCTGGAAGCCAGTCTGCTTAGGAAAAGAATTCCAGAGCTTGGAATCTAGGCAACTGAAGGCATGGTAACCAGTTAAATTCTCCGGTTTGGAATTAGAGGCGTGTGGTTATCTCCAGCAGGTTCTACGGCTGGAGAAGGTCCCAAAAGTAAGGGGATACGATTGAGATTATCACTCGTCAGAAAAATCTGCTGCTGAAACATTGAGCTATATTTTTGCTTACTGCGCTTTCAAAGAGCAAAGTTGTTGGGTTGCGGTTGGAAACAGCTACCCGGATGCAAGTGGTTATAGTAGATTATCCAGAAGGAAAAGCAGGTAAAATGTCACGAATGGCACATATTGGTCCAACCTGTCTTCTGTCCTTCAAATGGAGCTCCACTACGCTTATTTCAAAGCATTAATTTTTGCTTCAGGGTTTTCCTGCTGGCTAGGGCCCTTAGTATTTCTGTTAATCTCAGTGGGAACACACTGACAGTAATTATCCAGTCAGCAATTCAGGAACTGCTCGCACTGACTGGTGAATGCCTGCTATCCCGTAATATTCCCACATCATGCAACATCCCGACTTGCTGCTTCACAGTAGCTGGGTCAAAAATGTGAATGGATGAACCTACACCACATAGCTCAAGAAGGCAGTGGCACCTTCTCAAAAACAATTAGATTGTGCAAAAAATGCTGGTGCTGTCACTGATGCTGACATCCCAGGAAGGAATTAAAATAAAATTCCTCAAAATCATTACATTTCTGAAAATTGGTAGGCCGACAAGAGAGTAACATTGCAGTATTTCTGAATTGACCTCAATTTGTTTGTTTTGCAATCAGCACTTATAAAAATTAAAATGCAACATTTGTATCATGACCTAGAGTTGTTTATGTTAAAAACAGAGTCCTTCGTCCATTAGTGCTGATTCTATTTCTCATTTTGGAGCCCTGGCATTGGCATCTACAACCAAAAAGCATCTTGTCGACTATTCCCACTATAATGGAATCATAAAATTCTCTTGTTTCATTTACTTATGAGATGGGAAGAATTGGTGTCATGGCTATCACGTATTACCTATCTTAAATGCTCTTAAGGGATTAACAGAGCTACCATCTTGAACTGCTACAGTCGTATGGTGTATCTATACCCAGAGTGCTGTGAAGGAAGCAATTTCAAAATTTTACCTCATGGCTATGAAGGAACGGTGGCATAATCCCAAATCAGAACGGTGCATTGTTTGGACGGACACAGCAATTCCCTTTCAGAAAGCTAATGTAAAATGACCAGTCTTGAACAAGCTCCAACAGTGTACAAGAATCATTACATCTGTCAATAGGCTGAAGCACAAGTATGCAGATCTCATGAACAAATGATTAGAGAAGAAAATTTCATATTTAAAGTATTTATAACTCAATTTTCATTGTGACTTATGATAACCAAAGGATCCATAAACCTTACACTTTTGCTCTTGTAAACATTTAAAATTATATACATGAAACTAAAAAGTGACTTCAGAAAGCCATGATATAATCTATACAGAGATAGAAAACATAATATGTATGACATTGAGTTTTATTGGAGAACAGTAATATTTGAGGAATCTTCTTGGAATAATAAAAGAGAATGCTTCAAGTCGGCTGAGCCATCTTTTTAAACAAAAACTGAACTCATAGAAACCTCAAGTAGTATTTTTTTTAAATGAAACTCAAGGCTTGGAATAGTCAAATTTCAGATGTTACATTTATTATATAATGTTCCTCTGGTGACCTAGTTAAAGGCATCTTGATCTCTTTGGGGAGCTGAATGAGGTGTTACAGTTGATTTTAGGACTACTAAGTCAGAGAGTGGTTTTCTGCCAGTAATTATTGACCTATAACCCCTGCTGAAAAACATACCTGTGTGCCAAGTAAACCGATTGGGTTCAGCTTAGATATCCTCAGTAACAATAGCCTGATATTGTCCACACATTTGGTGCAAGTAAAAGAAAATTTCAAATCTTTCTTTATATATATAGTTTTGTTTTTCTGATATTATTCTCATTAATTTTCACTATGTCCTTTGCTTTGCCATTATTGTCTTCTATGCAGAGGTAACTAGAATGTAGGGATATATATTATTGTACGTAACTGTACGCACATTCAACATTACTCCTTTTTATATTTAATGTCATGATGTGCAAAGCTATTAAATTCATCATAATTTTGTGGTCCACCTTATAAATAGTAGTCATAACAATATTTGAATACTGAAGAGTATGGAAAATTTGCATAAACTACAGTACTTGTGCCTCAATGTCTCAACGACTGTTAGGTGGAATTGTTGCTGCTTTGGAGTTCGATATTTAAGTATAGAGAGCATCATCTGACAGCAGTTTTCTCTTCAACGTTTTGCATAAATGACAGGTTTTAAAATATGGGATTAAAACATTTGCCATAGTCATGCCATGATGCAGTTACATTTTTTGGTCTGTCCCTTATGCTGAGCAGTAAATATATTATGTGGTATTTAATTTTTGCTGGGCTAGCATCATTGTATAACATTTAAATTTTAATAAACAGTTCTGTTGGCTATCATCTCCATTTAGTATCTGTTGGAAAAACACATGAATTCATTGTTTTCAGTTAATTTTACATCTTGAATGCTTCATACAAATAAATAAGTGTTATCTTTAAGGAGGAGGTACCTGGACTTACTGACAAGTCCTTTATAAGTGTATTAGCAATCTGATGTACCGTTCTTTGGTTTTTGGTAGTATTTTGTTATGATCCCAGCTCATGTTACTGTGGGTCAAGTCAGATCCCAGAATGAAATCTGGCTTGATCGATGTTTTTTTTCTCAATTTAACATGGTGTTTTTTTCACTGAAATGTAAGCACATTAGGCGGCAGATTTGGTTTTAAGACAGAAATGTAGTACACAAAATAAATATTAATAAAATTAACCAAACTCATGCTATCTAAATACAACACAGATTAAAAGATTTCAAAACACACAGTAAAATAAGTAAAGTCTTATCAACTCCATAACACCATCACATTACAATTAAACAAAATCCAGAGCAATTTTTCTAACCTGTCCAATTCATAGATTTGACTTTATCGCTTCTTCTCAGGACCTGTCCTGTGAACCATGAGGTCTTTACCTTGACTATTCACAACTAAAAGCTTAGACTTTCTCAGGTTTTTAATACTCTGCATGCCTCATCTGGAAGCTTTGCAACCCATACTCTTCACTGAAGTAATTTTATTTCCTAATTACTCTGAACAATCTCCTAAATCCAGTCAAGTTTCATTCTAACTGAACCCAAAAGTTTATTCATTCTTTTTTTTTAAAACTGCAAATGATAGATTCTGCAGCAGCTAATAACTTAGGTTTTCTCTCTCCTGTCATAATGCCCCACAATATAAATAAACATCCATTGATACTCGTGAGGTTCTTACAACCACTGGCTCTCTAATACACGCTGGCCCCAAAGCCATGCTTCTGGAAAGACTGACCGAATTAATTTTCAACCCTTTCTCAAAAATATCTCAACACCCATATGCCACTGGTTTTAAATCCGACTCTAAACTCTAAAGACTCTGAAATTGCAAAGAAGAGTCGTGGTGAACTTGATTAAGTGTGTTTCCCTCTCTGCAGATGATTTCAGATCTGTTGAGTTTCTCTAGCACTTCCTGTTTTATTCGTTTAAAAATTTGTTTTGCCCAAACGCAAATTTTTCTATGGCTTCTACAGATAACATCATGGATCAAAGGAGAGGTCTACAAGTACATAAAATCTTCAGGAAACATTATAAATGAAAAGGCCTTTGACATATTTTAGTATTGGAAAGAGAGCATGTCTTCATGGTCAAGGACAGTGTCTATTTGGTTATGATTGAGAAGGAGGAAAGGTATGATCATGTTATTGGAACTATTCTATAGGTCTCCAAGTAATACAGAAGAAATAGAAGAGCAGGTCTGCAACAAACTAGGGCTGTGTAAAATCTGTGAAGATTTTGAGCTGTTTAATAATGTAGTTTGGGTAATGGGGGTAAATTTCTGAAAGGTGTTCATAACTACCTTTACCAGTATATTCCTGGTCCGACGAGAGAGGAGGGATTGCTGGATCTGCTGCTGAGAATGAGTTGTGCCAGGTGGACCAAGTCTCTTTAGGGATGAATAGGTTTGAATAAAATTCAATACAAATCAAAAGATTTAGTTCAGTAATGGAGCAGAATAAGAGACAGTCTAATGTAGAACTTGAAAATTGGAAAGAAGCGAACAGCAGGTTAGAGGATCTAGCTAGGACAAAGTGGAACCAAAGAGTGATGAGAGAAACTGTAACAAAACAGTGGGTGACTTCTAGGGAGTAGACCAGAATTGAAGCTTTTGGAACGGGAGGATCAATGTCAACGTAGATGTAAGAAAAAGGTGCTACAGGACAGAAAGAAAACAATCATGGTAAGTGGTGCTTCAGGCTGAAGGATAGTAGGAAATGGTGCTCCTGATGTGCTGGGCCCAGTGCTTGTATATCGGAATTGAGGAGGGGTGATTGGTTCTTCTTTCTTTAAACCCCCACATTCCCCCTCCTCGCCCAAGTCAGTCACAACAAATATCTTAATTTCCTTTATAGCTCATAACTATCACCCTTTGATTAAACTTGATCAACAAGAAGAAATGTAAAGAAAAGCTAATTGCAAGATTTTCTTGCACGAGAGTGGATTTTTGTTACCTAACAATAGTAAGAAGGGCACAAAATCCAGCATACGCACCTTACAAAAAACAAGGCGGGGGAGAAGGGCGTCTATTTTGTCACAAAGGGGCAGGCAGTCACGGCTATTTTTTGGAAAAGCCGTTGCATTGCAGGAAACCTCAATCCCTGTGGTTTAGCCAGTCTATTTTTTTCTGGAGTCGTGACATTGCAGACATCCTTGATCTCGCAGTGAAGGGTCATTGTTTCAAATTGGCTTTTTTGTTTTACTAAGGATTGATCTTAGGCAGTCGGGCACAGAGAGTGTCTTCAAGTTCTTCCTTCCAAATCCATTTTTGTTTTGTGTCTGCTTTGCTGCTCAGAAACAGCAGTTGAGAAAGGTCACATCTGTGTATCTCTCAGGACAGACCATTTTTCATTTCAATGTGTATAACTTCCAGAAAGGTGTGAATCATCCGGGAGTTACAGATCCGACTTCCAGTTTTCTTCTGTAACAATGCTAATTTCAGCTGTGATTGATCCTGTCATGATGGCTCTTGGGAAGATGTTTTAAGGGATGACGCACCTTCGATGGGGTAGTTTGGAGAAGCTAGTTGTTTTCCTTAGAGCAAAGGATGTTGAGGGGAGATTGTGCCAGATTGTGAAAGTGTTAGATAAGTAGAGAAAGACAAGGTGTTCCATTAGTTATGGTACAAAAACTAAGGAGTACAGATTTAAGCTTTTGGATAAGAAATGAAGTGGGGATAAGAAGAAAAACAAAGTTATTTATGCGATGAATGTTAATCACCTGGAATCCGTTACCTCCGAAAGTAGTGGAGATGATTAGTGATTTCAAAAGCAAATTGGATGGAAACTTAAACCTGCAGATCGATAACAGTAGAGAAATGAATGGGACTGTTTAGATTGCACTACACAGAATTGGCTGAAAGGCCTCCTTCTATGTTACAGTAACACTATGACATCAGTATAATCTTCACTGTGTAAGATCTCTTGAGGGATCTGACTGAGGACAGACAAATCTGGTTTAATAAACTTGACAAAAATGGTTTTATTTCATATAATATTTGAATTTTCATAAAATTTCTCAACACATTTTTTAAAAAGTACACAAAGACAATTTATGCACATATATTAAGAGGCATTACTGCTGCTAAGTAAACTTAAAAGATAACATTTCTTTGCAAGTTTCACCACTGTATGAAGGTGAATCAAACGAAATGTGAAGACATCCATCTAACATTCCAACCTGTAATCGATACCGACCATTTCTAGTACAAAGATGACATTTCCATGCCACCAGTTGTTTTGGAAACCTGACACTCTGTAGCACATTTGGTTATATGTGGCTATACTTATCCTTTAAACCTCCGATCCTAATTCTGAACCAGATATTTGTTAGGACTTCTTTAAAGAAGATAATTACCATTCTAACCATTTCTCTTGGAGTATGTTCCACATACCCACTACTCCATGGAAAGAAATGATTTTTTTTTCAAGATTTTGATCATTCTTGAGGCTTACCAATGCACTTATGTCCTTTGATCATGGTGGTTATCCAGAATTATGCTTGGATCACCATAACCATGAACTGTTTTATGCCACTTGACATATTTTTTGTCAATGATGCATAAAACAGAATAGTTCCTTAGATAAATAAACAGTAACTCAGATCATTTGTTACTCTAACAATAGTTAATGTTGGTCTTTTAAACTTTATTATCATGATATTTTCTGAAAGTTAGATATGTATATTTGAGAATATTTCAAAATTATTGAGTTCAGTTCTCTGAATTTATTTATATGATTGTATCAGGTTTTAAATGTTACAAATTTTATAAATAATATGCATCATTTCTTCTGCGTAGTATAGGTCATTCACATCCCAACAGCCCGAGATATAAATTTAATTTTATAGCTGATGTGGTGGAGAAAATTGCTCCTGCAGTTGTTCACATAGAGCTATTTTTAAGGTAAGTCTGACAAGAATGATGCATGTGGAGTATTACAAATGTAAGATACTATACAGCATGAATGGTTTCATTTAACTTTAAAGCATCCTACTTGGAACATGGGCATTGCCAACAAATGGGCATTGCCAACAAATATTCTTTGCTGTCTCCTGAGAAGAGGATAATATTCAACTTCTTGAACTGTTAGTGTACCATGTTGCTGTGGTACAAGACTCAAGAATAAACATTGAATTTCCGGCTTAAAGAACTTCATTGAATCAGTTGGGTTTTTATGACAACAGTCCAATAGCTCCATACTCACTTTTATGAATGCCATCACTTTATTTCTAAGTTTCAAAACTGAATTAAAATTCTTCAGCAATCATTTTGGAACTTGAACTCATTTTCTGGATCATTTGCCTAATAACTAGACTACTGATCCTGTTTGATTCAGTGGTTTTGGGGGTTTCTCTTCATTGTAAAGTGTGAGAAATTATTGACTTCCAAAACCATTTATTTTCGGTCTCTTGAAGCTCAACCATAATATTTTGCACCAGTCTTATCAAACGGACATCTGTTCTTCTTGCAACAGCTATGTATATGTCATAGCTTTCTATTGTGAAGGCGGGCAGTGACCAACTGGAAATAACTCTTTGGAAAAGTAACATTGTGACAGTGCAATTGGTGCTGTAAACTATGAGGTTAATAGTTTAGCCCAGGGCCATCTGCACCCCTGAAGAACGCTGTGCAAATGGATTTACTGTCAGCTAGTTTTTACTCTTAAGGGTTTTTGTTTTGTTTCAGTGAGCTTCACCAATCAGCTCTGTTCAACACAGTTTGTTTCTTCTGTTCCTAACATGAACTTTAATTTTACTGTCTAACGATTGTCATTTTGGCTGTCACAAGAAGTGAAAGGCTATGCAAGGTTGCCAATAGCAGATATAAGTATCAGTGACAATACCTATGTTTTATGAGATTATAATCATGATAATCTATAATTTTTAAATAATAAAATTGACGGTCACTGTGGGAAAATTGATGTGTCCTAATCGTATTCTTCAGTTATTTTTCTAACCAATTAAAATGCTCTTAAGAACACAGATGTCATTGGCAATGAAGAAAGTTTATTTTGCACTCTGAAGAGAGTCGAGGATCTGTCATCCTTATTTCAATTTTCTCCACAAATACAGGCATCCTCTATTGAGGCGAAATATCCCATTGTCTAGTGGCTCTGGCTTTATAATATCAGATAGTGGGCTGATTGTGACTAATGCTCATGTAGTAGTGTCCAGCAACACTGTAATGTCAGGTCAACAACAGTTAAAGGTGCAAGTACATGATGGAAAAAACTATGAAGCAACAATAAAAGACATTGACAAGAAATCAGACATAGCAACGATAAAGATTAATCCTAAGGTAAGTGAAATCTCAAATACTCTTTGGTTAATTTTAAAAGCCAGGAAATTAAATTTTCTGTCTTTAATTTTTTTTTCATTTGTTTCTTTTTGACATACTTTGTCCTTCTCAACAAAGACTGCCAATACTGAAGAACTTACATGACAATGTCAAGTTCTTGCAGGTTGGATCCAAAACCAGGCCAACAGAGTCCGCTTTGTGCCTTGAAATATCTTAACCAACAAACTTGGGAGAATCACCCTCCTCAACGAATTCCATTTCCTATGTCAACCATCTTTCTATTTCCAATTTCTTTGCTAATGAGTGCTGATGTAAAGGCAGTATATGCCACAGAGAAAATGTAGTCTTATCTTCTGGAAGTTTTACACAGTTATATGGGAGAAGGGACCAAAGGGACCTTTGTTCTAATATGCTGTGCTCGATCAGAACATAAAGGAATAAAAGCAGCAGGGTGAAATTGATTTCTGGTAATCGCATGAGACAAGCAGTAGAGAATTGACAGTTTGTATTGCAGCCCCCTGATTTTGCTTTCGAATGACTACTGTGTCAAAATGATTAGAGCAGAGTGTAAAACAGGCTGTTGAATTATTGTGGCTTGCTTTGCCCTAGATTGCAAAACCAGTCTCTGGTCCATTGGCTAAACAACAAGACATCCAAATCCAAAGTAAAATGCATCATTATAGAAAGGTGTCTATTGCCAAAATTACAGGTTCTGAGTACATCATAAGAGAGAGGAGCAGAATTAGGCCATTTGGCCTATGGAGTCTGTTCCACCATTTGATCAAGGCTGAAATGCTTCTTAACCCCATTCTCCTACCTTCTTCCCATAACCTCTGATTCCCTTAGGTTCTTGATTACTATATATCTTTGTCTTAAATACACTCAATGAGTTGGCCTCTATAGCCTTCCACAGCAATGAGTACAACAGATTCAACACCTTTGGCTGAAGAAATTCTTCCTCAGCTCAGTTCTAAAGGGTTATCCCTACCCTCTGAGGCTGTGCCCTCGGGTCCTAGTCTCACCTATGAGTAGAAACATCTTCTCCACATTCACTCTATCCAGGCCTGCCAGCAGTTACAACAAGATCCTCCCTTATCCTTCTAAACTCCATCAGTACCGCGGTACAGCCCCTCCGAAGGTAGAACATCCTTCCTTAGATATGGAGCCCAGACTGCTCACAATATTCCAAATGCTGATCAGAGCCTTAACAAGCCTCAGCAGTAGATCTCTGCAGTTGTATTCTAGCCCTCTCGAAATTAATGCCAATATTGCATTTGCCTTCCTAACTGTCAACCGAACCAGCATGTTAACTTCAAGTGAATCTTAAACTAGGACCCCCAATTCCTGGTTAGAAAATATTGATGTCGAAGGAGCTAATATTGCAGTACTTAACACACTTCTATCGTATATCTATAACATATCGAGCTGAGACCTGTTGTGTGTCCATTGAAAGTTACATAAAATACTGCTGCATGGTGTCATTCATGTCATTGAAGGTCAGGGAACTGGGCAGGTGCTGGAGCTCTTTAGTGCATAAAAATATAGAACAGTGTGTAAATGCACATATCTTGAAATACTTTCTAAGATTGACAAATTCCTTACTGAGGTGATCACAGGGACGCCTTATAGGTAAGGCAGCACTCTTTGTTGGCTCCATTGAGGCTGCTTTTGCACTGTTTTTCAAAGGGGAGGGCCCATTTCTGCAGCACACATGGCAGATGTGAGTTGGAAGGGTGTCATTTCGGTAACATGGTTTTGCTGCTGCCACAGCTATCGTTTAGCTTCAAGATAATCACCAGAAGTGGAGAAATATGAAGCGAATAAGCTGGCCTTGAATTATTTAATGAGATCAATTTTTGCCACTGTTGGTGCATTCAATGTCCAAATATCTGTGTTTCCATTGGTGCATTCCATCTGTGTTGGGATAACTTTATTAAATGCAAAACATTGCAGCATGTGAACATTTCTGAAGAAGGGTCTAGGCCTGAAACGTCAGCTTTCCTGTTCCTCTGATGCTGCTTGGCCTGCTGTGTTCATCCAGCTCTACACCTTGTTATCTCAGCATGTGAACAACTTGGAGAGTTTCTTTGAAATCTTAAAATTTAGCCAGCTATTTCAATGATGTGTTTCCTTCTGTAACTCAGATAGACAATGGCAAACAAAATCAAGTATTATTTTCAAAGCAGAAATAAATTTTCATAACCAGAAGTTGCTGGAAATGCTCAGCAGGTCTGGCAGCAACTGTGAAGAAAAAATCGGAGTTAACGTTTCGCGTCTGGTGACTCTTCCTCAAAACTGATGGTAGCTGGGTACATGTTGGTTTATATGCAGAAGATAGGGAGGGGGATGGGGTAGGGAGTAAACGATAGGATAAAGGATAGAGCCCCAAGAGAAAGAAGAGCAGTTGGATAGACAAAGGAGTTGATGATGATTTGGCTAGGAGGGTGAATAGCTGTTAATGGGGACTGTTAGTGACTAACAATAGGTAGTGTGTAATAGCAGGCGATGTGATAACAAGGCCTGGTGTGTGGGGTAGGGGGCTAGGATATGGGAGAGTTTAGGCTCTAAAATTATTGAACTCAATATTGACTCCTCCATCCCCACTGTCCAAGAACCCAAACATACCTTCCAGGTGAAGCAACACTTCACCTGCACCTCCCAGAATCTAGTATACTGCATTCGCTGCTCACAATGTGGTCTGCTGTACATTGAGGAAACGAAGCGTAGACTGGGTGACTGCTTCACTCACCAAAAAGACCCTGAGTTTCCAGTTGCCTGCCACTTTAACACACCACCCTGTTCCCTGGCAAACATCTGTGTCTCAGGCTTGCTGCAGTGTTCCAGCGAAGCTCAACACAAGCTGGAAGAAAAACCTCATTTTCCGCTTGGGAACCCTGCAGAACTCTGGACTCAGTATCAAGTTCAATAATTTTAGGGCCACTCAATAGCCTTCTGCATATAAACCGACATTTTCCTAGCTACCATTAGTTCTGAGGAAGGGTGACCAGACCCAAAATGTTAAAGGCTATTTTTATGTCAGACTGAAAAACAGGATGCCACTTGGTAAAAGTGTATTCTAAGCTTTACTTTAATATTTTGCAGAAAAAGCTACCGGTACTATCACTAGGTCAGTCTGTTGACCTCAGGCCAGGAGAATTTGTAGTTGCTATTGGGAGCCCTTTTGCTTTGCAAAATACAGTAACAACTGGAATTGTCAGCTCTGCTCAGAGGGATGGACGAGAGCTGGGTCTCAGAGATTCAGACATGGACTACATTCAGACAGATGCTATCATCAATGTAAGTGCAATGTATCGAGATATTTTCAATGTGTGGAATACATTGGGATGGAGTGAAAAATTAGTGGCAGGCTTTGCATCATTTATGCGTCAGAAACTAGTACAGTTGCTGTGTTTGATAGCAAAAACTAAGAACATGACAAATAAAGTGAGAAGGGGCCAGTTCATGCAGCTTGTTTAGTGCACCTTGATATGAACTTTTATGCTGCTTATTCAATCTCCAGGATAAATTATATGTAAATGCTTTCTGATTCTCAATAGTAACCAAGAAAAATTCTGAATTGGCTATCACGTTTTATGTATACGTTAATCAGTTATCTTTAGACTTGAATTATCCTTGGCTGAACAAGGCTGTGATCAATAAGGGAACATTACTTAAAAGGCTGATGGTGGAAAGGGGGCAATGGTAAGCATTTGAAGTGTGAATTGGAGGAACTGCAGCAATTATTCATTCCTGTCTGGCACAAAACAACATGGGAAAGATGGCCTGACCATGGCTAACAAGGGAAAGTAGGAATAGTACAAAATCCAAGGAAAGGTCAGACAAATTGGCTTTAAAAAAAAAGCAACAGATCTGAGGTTTGAGGACAGTTTAGATTTCAGCTAAGCAGGACAAAAGGATTGATTAGGAGGAGGAAAATAGAGTACAAGAGTAAGGTTGCAGGGAACATACAATGTGATTGTGAAAGCTTCTAAAGGTATCTGAAGAGAAAAAGACAAATGATAAATGTAGGCCCTTTTGCAGTCAGAAACAGGAGAAGTTATTATGGGTAACAAAGAGATGGCAGATTAATCAAATACATAATTTGGTTCTGCCTTCACAAAGGAGACTAAAAATGTTGGGTAACACATGGTCAGGTGAGAGGGTGGAGCTGAAGCAGTTCAGTATTGGTAGAGAAGTGATGTTGGGGAAATTGATGGGATTAAAGGCTGACAAATCACCAGAACCTGATAATCTACATCTGGCCCCAGAAAAAGTGGATGCAATGGTGATTATCTTTCATGAGTTTATATGGAATGATGGGTGGCTAATGTAACCTCTCTATTTAAAAAGGGAAGTAGAGAGAAAACTAGGGATTCTAGATCGGCAAGCCTGAAATCAGAAATAGGAAAGATGCAGGAGTCCATGATAAAAGATTTAACAGCTGAGCAGTTTGAAAATAGTGGCAGGATCAGAGTCAGCATTTATGAAAGGGAAATCATGCTTGACAAATCGACTAGAATTTTTTGAGGATGCATCAGGGAGAGTTAATAAGTGGGAGCTAATTGATAGGGTTTACTTGGACTTGAACAAGGCTTTTGATAAGAGACTACGATATAAAATTAAAACACAAAGGATTGTGGGAGCTGTACTGACATAGATAGAGTATTGGTTGGCAGACTGGAAACGGTCGTATTAAACAGCTCTTTTTCCAAGTGGCAGGCAGTGGACTAGTGCGGTACTGCAAGGATCAGTGCATGGGCTCCTGCTATTCAAAATATATATTAACGATTTAGTTGAGGGAACGAAATGGAATATTTCTCAGCTTCCAGACAACACACAACAGGGTGGGAGGGTGAACTGTGAGGAGGAGACAGAGATGCTTCAGTGTGATTTGGACAAGTTGAATAAGTGGGCAAAATGCATAGCTGATGAAGTATAATGTGGATAAATAGGAGATTAACTACTTTAGTGGCAAAATCAGGAAGGCAGATTATTATCTGACTGGGGATTAGATTGGGAAAGAGGGAAGTGCACTGAGACCTGTTTGTCCTTGTACAGCAGTCACTGAAAGTAAGCACACAGGAGCAGCAGGTGACGAAGAAGGCAAATGTTATGTTGGCTTTTACAGCGAGAGGATCTGAGTACAAGGGTAGGACTGTCTTACTACAATTTTAAAGGCCTTTTGTGAGACCACATGTGAAGTATTGTGTGCAGTTTTGGTCTCCTTATCTGAAGAAGCATGTTCTGGCTTTGGAGAGAGTCCAACAAAGCGTTACTGGACTGATTCCTGGGATAGCAGCTGTAACGTATGAAGAAGGACCGGATCAGTTATGACTATATTCAGTGGAGTTTAGAAGAATGAGAGGGATCTCATAGAAATCTATAAAATCCTAACAGGATTAAAACAGGAAGGATGTTCCTGACACTGAGAACCAGGGATCACCATTCAAGGATATAGGGTATGTAGTGATTGTAACAAGGTCAGCCAGTTTGACTTCCTAGAATATGAGTTCCCTGATTGGGGCTGTCCATCCAGTCCAAACAGGGAGCCCTCGCTGACAGATAAAAACAGGAGTGTTAGAGGTTCAGTTCACTGAGAGCTGGCTCTGAGGGAGCTGGGTCAGCGTTAAGGACTCTCCACGTGTAAATAAAGGGTGACTTGGTGATGGGACACCGGCCCTCTGGAGTTATTTCAATGGCGACGAGAATGGGATTAATGATGTTACCATACAAAATTGCCTACTACTGAAGCCCAGCTGGACTTAAAACAGGATCTAATTGGCTTTGTCATCGGAAAATGTGGCAAGTAGAGTATATGAGTTGCAGGGTATTCCAATGCAAGTGGGCACTCTTGCCAGTCCAACTGAGTTTGGGGACCAGCACTTGAGTGAAGGCAATTACATAGCCTCACTCAGGCCATATCCAGAACAGAGGGACTCTAGGTCAACCCACAGCAAAACCTCAAAGCCAAGCCTCAGCCAAACAGTTTAAAATTTTTTTCAGGATCTGGGCCAGCAAGGCTTTGTAGTTGGTGCTGATACGCAGACTCGAGACATCTAACAAGTCGCACAAGACCTAAAATAAGTAAGATAACTCAGAGTTTGATGTCCAGGCGAATACATACCCTGGAAAGGCGATCTACATTTAGTTTGGAACAGTTATATTGCTTAGCAATATCCAAATCAGAATCAGTCAAAATAAACGTCTGGTTAAATGGTCACCCAGTTCGATACTAGCGTGGTCGTTTCAGTGATTGTAGGACCAGTCTTTAACAAAACTCGCTCTGGACTGCAACCCTTAAGTTTACACTCAATCGTGGTTAGACTAAGAAGCTAAACCAGGGAACCTTTACAGATTAAGGGTACAACTTCGGTTCCAGTCTCTCATGAGAAGCAGCTGGTTCAGTTACCACTGATTGTAGTAAAAGGCTTGGGCCAAAATTGGTTGAGAAAGATTCAACTTGATTGGCTTAACATTTTTTGAGTAGAAAATGGCTGCCTAAGTGGAGTCCCAATTAACTACCCAGAAAATTTTCTGGAAGGCTTAGGGACTGTCAAAGGAGCCAAGGCAACCTTGCATGTTGACCAAGAAGTAATTCCGTGATTCTGCAAGGCCCACCCAGTGCCATTTGCCTTATGGATAAAAGTAGAGGCAGAAACACAGAAGGCTGTGTTACCAGTCCAATTTGCAGAATGGGCAGCACTTGTCGTACCAATTGTGAAGCCTGATGGGTCGGGTCGCCTTTGTGGGGATTTCAAACAAATCGTAAACCACTTTTCACAGCTGGATAAATACTCACATAGAGGGTTTATAAGCAAATCTGATAGGGGTGGGGGGACGCTGTCCTTCACGAAGCTGGACATGAGCCATTTATTTACAATTGAGGTTTTAAGAGGATTGCCAGAAGTACGCTACAATTAACACCCATAAGGGTTTGTACCAAAATATGAGACTGACATTTGGGGTGTCATCAGACTGTGCAAGTTTTCAGCAGGCGATGATGAAGAACACTTTATAGGGTCTACCCCAGGTTGCTGTTTATCTGGATGATGTGCTAATAACAGGGAAGACCAGTAAGGAGCACTTAGAGAATTTGCATATGGTCCTTAGACATTTCTTCCAGTTGAGCATACACCTTAGAAGGGAAAAATGTGTGTTCCAGGCACCCCAAGTGTCCTGCTGGGCTACAGAGTCAACAAGACTGGGTTACACCGCTTGGAAGATAAGGTGAGGGTAATCAGAGGTGCTCCAGCTCCCACGTCTGTACTGGAGCTTAGGTCTTTCCTTGGGCTGGTGAACCACCACAGAAAGTTCATGCATAACCTGACCATCATCCTGGCACCATTGCATCAACTCTCAAAAAAAGGTCAGCCTTGAAAATGGTCGTATAGCCAAACCATAGTCTTCAGAGAATTGAAGAAACAGCCAACAGCTTCACTAGATACCAAACTATCCCAGTTCCCATTTGATTATAAGACCACCGGCCCCAATGCAACTACAGGGATAACTCCAGCAGAGTTGCTAATGGGGAGAAGACTCCACACCAGGTTAAATCTGATCTTCCCAGACCTGGGGGTGGGGGGGTGGGTGGGGAGGCGCGGTGGGTGGGGCGGGGGCATGCGTTGAGTGAAACGGCATCTGGAAGGCCAGTGCTGGACAGAAGACTCTGCTGAACGAGAGAAACGGTTTACCTCCGGTCGGGGGGGGCGGGGTTAAAGTTTGGTGTAGAAACCATAGGAATGGGCCTGCATGGACAAGAGCCATGGTCAACGCCGGGTCGGGTCCAGTAACATATACAGTTTGAGTAGGCGTGACATTCCTGAACAAGCACATGGACCACATAAAAACTGCAAACTAGCAAACGGAGCAGGAGCAAAATGTATCGGCTGCTCGGCAGTCTTTCCAACTGTTGCAGAACCTGTGGGTTCTCCCACTCTGTCACGTGTTGAATATACCTTGGAATCTGTGATGGAGACAAGTGGATATCGCCCTCTCAATGCCTTTGCCGCCTGAAAAGGAAAATGAATTTCTTCCGAGATGTTCTGGGCGCAAGAGGCGTTCTACTGCTACCCGTATGAGAGGCAGAGTTAGTGAACCTGACATGGTGCTAAGACATCCCAGGAGGAGCTATAAAAAAAGAAGCAGCTGACATCCCTGAACTTAGAGGGGGAGGGATGTAGTGATTTTAACAAGTTTGGCCAGGCGGATCTCCTAGAATATGAGTTCCCTGATTGGGCCGTTAATCTGGTCCATTCTGGGAGCCCTGGCTGATAGACATAAACAGCAGTGTCAGAGATTCTTTTTCACTCAGAGAGCTGTATCTGAGGGAACTGGATCAGTGTCGAGGACTCTCCAAGTGTAAATAAAAGGTGACCCGGTGACAGGATACCAGCCTCTGTGAACTTAGTTCAAGGGTAGGCCATTTAGAATCTAGATGAGGAACAATTTCTTCATCCAGTGAGTGGTGAACTTGTGAAATTCACTACCGTAGAAAGTGGCTGAGGCCAAAACATTGTTTTCAAGAAGGAGTTAGATATAGTCCTTAGGGCTAAATGGACCAAAGTGTATGTGGAGAAAGTAGGAACAGAATACTGAGTTGCATGATCTGCCATGATCATGTTGAATGGTGGAGCAGGTGGGAAGGGCTGAATGGCCCCCTGCTCCTCCTATTTTCTATGTTTGTATGTTTCAAGAACTAGCAGTGTTATAGTAGGTGGACAGAAGTATATTCTTCAAGTTCAATGTTCTAACTTTATCATTGGTTGCACCTTTTGTTATGCCAAGATGTTTGCATTCTTGCAACCAAAACGTCAAGACATTTATATTAAATACTGCGTGTTTTAATCAAGTATTTATGTAGGCCGTGATGGTGATTCATAGAAGATGTTAAATAGCATGTTGTTTTCAATAAAATTCATAACTAATGAGTTCAAAAAGGTGACTAATATTTTCATTGCCCTTTGGTAGTCTTTTTCTGAAAGCTCTTGATCTGACTTTATGTGGACGTATAAGTTGATAGATTCAATGATGAGTGGATGAAAACCAAGGAAATTATTCAAATACAAATAGAATCATAGAATCCCTACAGTGTGGAAACAGGCCATTCGGCCCAACAAGTCCACACCGCCCCTCCGAAGAGCATCCCCACCCACACCCATTACCCTACCCCTGATTTCCCATGTCTAACCCACCTAAACATCCCTGGGCACTATGGGCAATTTAGCATGGCCACTCCACCTACCCTGCACATCTTTGGACTGTGGGAGGAAACCGGAGCACC